AAAACTTAGATGTCTATTTCATCTGGCTTTTTCTTCTTGAGGAGTATGATTTTTACACATTTAACAACTGCACCAAAAAAAAAAAAAAAAAAAAAGGTAAGAAAAGTATCTTCTACCCGTAAATATCAGCCACAATTTTAGCGTAAAATATTGATAAGTGTTTGCCCTCTCTGGGCACTCTTCTGGCTAAACCAATTTAGCTCTCTGTACTTAGTTGCTCTAGCTTTTTATATGAAAAATTTATCATAGCATTTAAACTTTTTTTATTTTGTAAGTAATATATAAACACATTCTCCTCATAAAAATCCAAACAATGCAGATAAATCCCCCCTTTGATTCCTCGCATGTCCCCTCCCTCCTTTCTCTATTTAGTTTTTAATCTTACTCTCTTTCCCAACGTTTTCTAATTGAAGCACTTTTCAAATTCATGAGCAAAAATTGATCTAAGAGGTAGAGTCAACATGGCTCCCTAGACAGATGTACCATGCAGTCCCTCTGCAGCAAAGACCTGAAACACTAAGTAAAACAGATACAAAGTCAATCCCAGAACCTTAAGCATTAAATGAGGGGATAAAGAACTACATCAAACACCAAATGGAAGAAGAAACTGACAGAAAACAGAATGATAAATACGGAGTGGAAGTCCCCTGCCAACTAACAGGGCACAGCATCGCCATCCTGGAACACAGCCAGCAACGACCCTGGACAGGGAGTATGGGAAGGCAACTTCATGGAGCTCCCAACAAGAGACAGAGCACCCACTAACCAGAGAAACACACTTTCCCACCACTCATCCTTCTGGTGAGTTGAAGCAAGAACCCCTCATCCCAGTTGCCCCCAGTGCCAAGGTCCACAATATGAGCCCTAACCCCTGGGGCCTGCCCTGTCCCCTCCCGCCACACAGCTTTTTTTTTCTCTCTCTCTCTTCTTTCTCCCTCCCACCTAGCCATGTACACCACCCACCCTATTCCCGCAGTCCCCCACTGCACCACCATGGCTAGACAGACCCTGGCCCACTGCCCCCTGGGTAAGCCCTGCCCCTATTCGCTGGCTCCCAAAATGCCACCATTTTTTTTTTTTGTTCCCTTTCACTGTTTCTTTCACCCTCCCACCTAACCCTACATCACGTCCCTCCACCTCCTGCTGAACCCCCGCTGTGCTGCAGCCACTAGAGTCATCAGCCCACCACCGTCCTGGGTCCACCTCACCCCCACCTGCTGGCTCCCACTGCACCACCATTTTTTTTCTCTCTCTTCTGTCTTTTCTTTCTACCTCCTACCTACCTTCGTAGGTCACCTGCCTTCCCTTCACACTGACGCCGGTTCTATCCTGCTCCCAACTGCTGGCTCCCACTGTGTTGTATTTTTTATCTTCTCTCCTGCCCTTTATTCCTCCCTCCCACCTAGCCCTTTACATCACCTCCCAACCCTTTCCACTGGCCTGCAGTTCTGCCCCGTTCCCAATCATGGGCTCCCACCACACCATCATATTTTTTGAAATTATTAACTTTTCTTTTCCTTTCTTTCTCCCTCACACTTAGCCTCAAACGTTACCACCCCTCTCTTCAACAGGTCTGTGGGTCTGATCCATCCTCACTCAACAACCACCACTGCACTGCCATTTTCTAAAAAAATTGTCTATCTTTTTTTTTTTTCTTGTTCTTCCACTTCTTTCTCCCTCCCACACAGCACCATACACCACCTCCCTCACCTTTCTGCCACTGGACTAGCCGCTCAGCAGTGGGAAGCCAGCCCATACCACTCCCAGGACAAAACTCCAGCGCGGGGCTGTGAATGCTCCCACAGTGCTGGACCAACACCAGGAGGCAGACAGCACTCGCCCAGTCCGCCCTCAGACACCTCGCCAAATCAGCATACACTGAAGCGGCCTTGCCCTGCATGCTGCTGCCCTGCCCACCTGGACAAAGTGGTGAGAGCTATCACGCCCACAAACGAGCAAGCAGCAAAGCATGCCCGACCTGCCCACCCTGACACATGAAAACAAAACAAGAAGCAGGATGAAACAAATATACAATCAATCAACAAAGAAAATAATACCTTAATGTCTTGGAGACAGAATATCAAAACATACGTAAAAGACAAGATGACTTCAGTAAGTGACCAAAATAAAGAATCACATATCCTTCCAGTAGAAGAAAAAGCAGTAGAACGACCTGATATGGAATTTAAAAGGCTAATATTTAGACCTCTCCAAGAGATTAGGAAAGAGATCAAGGAAAACACAGACAAAACCAAGGAAAAACACATAAAATCATGGAAAACACAGACAAAACCAACAAAAACATAGCCAAAAAACTCCAAAAGAGAAACAACAACATTTCAGAAATGGACAATTCAATAGAAGTTTTTAGGAGAAAATTTGAAACTATGGAAGACAGAACCAGTGAGATTGAGGACAAATCCATGGGTGCCACTTTGTTTGAGAAGAAAACATAAAAATTATGTAGGACACACTCAAGAGCAAAAATTGCATGTGATCGGAGTTCCAGAAAGGGGAGAAATGGAAAACACGGAGGAAACTGTTGAAGATTTGCTGGCAGAAAACTTCCCAAATATCATCAAAGACAAACAGCTGACTATCCAAGACACTCAAAGAACCCCACACAGTATAGACCACTAAAAACAGTCAAAAAGACGTTATCATGCTCACACTTGCCAACACCAAAGACAAAGAATTCTGAGATCAGCTTAAGAAAAACAAAAAGTCATATACAGAGGAGAAACAATAAAACTAAACTCCGATTACTCAGCAGAAACTTTTCAGGCAAGATGACAAAGGGATGACATATATAAAATCTTGAAAGAAAAAAAAGGGTTAACCAAGAATATATATCCTACAAACTCTCAAATATGAGGCTAACTTAGGACATTTCTAGATAAAAAGAAATTAAGGGAATTTGTAAAAACTAAACCAAACATACAAGAAAGATAAAAGGAATTCTTTCAGTTAGAAAACCAACAATATCAGACAACAACCTGAGTCTAGGATACAGGAGAGCATCAGCCAGATACCAACCTAGAAAAAGAACTCTCAATAATAAAACAAAGCTAAAAGACTTAAAATAGAAAACCAGAAATGTCAATCTGTAAATGATGACAACGTCAAAACAATAAAGAGGGAATAATGTAGGTACAGAATTTTCAATTGGAGAGGAAGTCAAAGTGATATCAAGTAAGTAATAAAAGACTGGTTCAGACTTAGGGAGATAAGGATAAATTTTCAAGGTAACCACAAAGGAAGTTAACAAACCTACTGATCAAAATAAAAAAGAAGAAAAACATAAAGACTTAGTAAACACAAAATCTATAATAACAAAAGAAATGAAAAGAAAATCCACAAACAAAAGGAACTCAGCACAGAAAAGTAAGAGGAACAAAGAAAACGTCAGCACCACAAAAATAAAAAGCACAGCAATATGACACTGAATGATAATCACACTGAATGTAAATGGATTAAATGCACTCATGAAGAGAGAGCGGCAGACTGGATTAAAAAAATGCGACCCATCAATATGCTGTCTAAAATAGATGCATTTTAGACACAAAAACATAAACAGATTAAACATCAAAGGAAGGAAAAAAATACATCAAGCAAATAGTAACCAAAAATATCAGGAGTGGCAATACTAATAACAGATAAAATAGACTATAAGGCAAAATCCACCATAAAAGACAAGGAAATACATAATCATTAAAGAGTTAATCCACCAAAAAGACATAGCCTTAATAAATATCTATGCGCCCAACAACAGGGCCTCAAAATACATAAAACAAACTCTTAACAGCACTGAAAAGAGAAACAGACAGACCTACAATAATAGTAGGAGACTTCAACACACTACTGTCACTAAAGAACAGATCATCTAGAAGGAAATTCAACAAAGATATAGAAGAGCTAAAGGCCACAATCAACCAACTTGACCTCATAAACATGCACAGAACACACCACACAACAGCAGCAAAGTACACATTCTTTTGCAATGCACATGGAACATTCTCCAGAATAGGTAGTGTAAGGAATTCTCCTTCAATTCTTCACTTTTTAGGTCACAAAGCAACCCTCAATAAAGTCTGAAACATCAAAATAATACAAAGCATTCTCTTTGATCACTATGCCATAGAAGTAGAAATCAATAACACAAAGAGCAAGAACAAAAAATCAAATATATGGAAACTGAATAACACCCTGCTTAAAAACAACTGAGTAATGGAAGAAATCAAAGAGGGAACCAAAAATTCCTAGGATCAAATGAGAATGAATACACACCATACCAAAACCTTGGGACACAGAACCTTGGGACACAGATCTCGAAACCTACTACACAGCCACTGTAGTCAAAACAGCCTGATACTGTACAACGACAGACACATAGACCAATGGTATAGAATCGAGAACCCAGAGGTAAATCCATCCACTTATAGTCAGCTAATCTTTGACAAAGGACCAATTAAATGGGGAGAAGACAGCTTTTGTACAAACGGTGAGGGCAAAACTGGATGTTCATCAGTAAAAAAATGAAACAGCCCCCATACCTCACACCATACAAAAACTAACTCAAAATGGATCAAACAACCTGAATATAAAACCTAAAATGATAAAGATCACAGGAGAAAAAATAGGGCCAATACTAGGGGCCCTAACACATGGCATAAATACAATGCTAACTATAACTAATGATGCACAAACACCAGAAGATAAACTAGATAACTGGGAGCTTCTAAAAATTAAATGCTTATGCTCATCAAAATACATCAACAAAAGAGTGAAAAGACAACCTATGAACTAGGAAACATTTTTTGGCTATGATATATCTGACAAGGGTCTAATCTAAAATCTATAGAATACTTCAACATCTCAACAACAAAAAGACAAATAATGCAATCAAAAATGGGCAAAGGGTATGAACAGACATTTCACCAAAGACGACATTCAGGCAGCTAACAGACACATGAGGAAATGCTCGCGATCACTACCCATTAGAGAAATGTACATCAGAACTACAATGAGATACCATCTTACCCCAACATTACTGGCACTAACCAAAAAAAATGGAAAATAACCAACGTTGGAGAGATGGTGTGGAGATTAACTCTTATGCACTGCTGGTGGGAATGTAAAATGGTACAACATTTTGGAAAACGATATGAAGCCTCCTTAAAAAGCTAGAAGTAGAAATATCATAGGATCCAGTAATACTACTCTTAGGAACATATCCTAGAGAATTAAGAGCCATCACACAAATGGACTTCTGCACACTCATGTACACTGCAGCATTATTCATAATAGCAAAAAGATGGAAACAACCTAAGTGCCCATCAACAGATGAATGGATTAACAAATTATGGTGCAGACACACAATGGAATACTACTCAATGACAAAGAAAAATGATCAATCTGTGAAACATCTCACACCACGGATGAATCTGGCGGGCATTATGCTGAGTGAAATAAGTCAATCACAACAGGACAAATATTGTATGAGACCACTGTTATAAAAACCCAAGAAAACGTTTACATGCAGAAAAAAACAATCTTTGATGGTTACGAGGGAGGGGAGTAGTGAGAAGAGGAAATCACTATCTAGATAGTAGACAAGTGTTAACTTTGGTGAAGGGTAACACAACACAGCATACAGTGGAAGTCAGCTCAACTCAACCAAGGCAAAGTCAAAAAACTTCCTAGACACATCTAAACACCTTGAGGGACTAAGTTACTGGGGCTGAGGGATGGGGACCACGGTCTCAGGGGACAAACTGTTCAATTGGCATAACACAGTCCATAAAGAAAATGTTCTACATCCTACTCTGATGAGTAGCGTCTGGGGTCTTAAAAGCTTGCGAGTGGCCATCTAAGATACATCAATTGGTCCCATCCCATCTGGAGCAAAGGTGAATGAAGAAAACTAAAGACACAAAGAAAATATTAGCCCAAAGGGACCATATGAACCACAGCCTTCACCAGGCTGAGCCTAGAAGAACTAAATGGTGCCTGGCTGCCATCATCAACTGCTCTGACAGGGATTAAAACAGAGGGTCCTGGACAGAATGGGAGAAAAATGTAGAATTCAAATTCACAAAAAATGAACTGGCCCCTGGGATTCCCTACTAACTTATAACTGAAGCGACTCTCAAAGTCCACCTTTCAGCCGAAGATTAGACAGGCCTATAAAACAAGTTCAATCAAGTATACGAGACCAAATGTGCAACACCTGCCCAAAAGCAAAGATGAGAAGGCAGAAAGGGGCAGGAAAACTGGAGAAATGGACACGGGAAACCCAAGGTGGACAGGGAGTGGGGGAGAGTGCTGACACAATGCATGGATTGCAACCAATGTCACAAAACAGTTAGTGTATACATTTTTTGAAAAAGAAACTCATCTCTGCTGTGTACTTTCACTTAAAGCACAAAAAAAAAAAAAAAAAAAAAAAAAATCCAAAATTTAAGACACACATGATGGCCCGAATGCATCCACTAATCTTCTTTCACTGGAAACAAATTTGTATGTGAAATAATGAAAGGAAAAAAGCAGAATTCTGACAGTCTCCCTGTGAAAGCTTGAGTGGGAACCTGCTAGGGGAGTCTTGCATTTGGGGACCACTTCTGGCACAGCTCATTTGATTACAGGCTGCTAGGAATAGGAAAAAGAGGGGCACCTGAAGGTTGTTGGCAAGTTCACTCACCACTTAACTGACTTTCACTGCTAGATTCAGCCCCCTGATCTCTACCATCAGTCCACCTGAAGTTTTCTAAGCCTGAGTGGATGGATGTTAGTGAGGAAATCAACAGAAATAAGTGAGTACATGGATGATTGGTACATGTGGCATGTTGGAGACAAGCATAGCGTTTGTTAAAAAAAAAAAAGAAAGAAATATTTTTAGTCTTTCACTTAAAATTCCATTCTATAAGGTAACAGGGTAAGAAGTAGAGAAAACTAGGGCTTTGAAGCCAGACAGACATGACACCATGTGGCAACATGAGAGCCTTGACTACTAGTGTCCATCAGTAAAATGCAGAGTCCCTTCATAATGTTATGAGGGTTAAATGAGAGAGTGTTTAAGTCACAGCATAGTCCCTTCCCATACAAGTTAATGCTTCTCTATGGAGCCGTGGTGACTCAGTGGGTAAGAGCTACAGCTGTTAACCAAAAGTTAGGCAGTTCAAATTCACCAGCTGTTCCTTGGAAACATGGGACAGTTCTACTCTGTCCTATAAGGTTGCTATGAGTTAGAACTGACTCGATGGCAACAGGTTTGTTTTGTTTGGCTTTTATCTGCTAAAATACTCTTCAATACCGCCTCTGTGATGTTTCTTGGTCAGCTCCTATCCTATTCAGGTATTTCCTAGAGTGTAGATTAGTACATATATAAAGGTATGTTTAACATGATCACTTTACAGGTTGCTAAAGTTCAACTATTATTACCCAGGTAATTATCCTTGAAGAAAATTAACTATAAATGATTCTTCCACTTGCTAAAATCTAAAAACATACTTCTACTAACAACAAAAATCATGCCACAAATACCCTGCCCCAAATATATACCTCTTAATTACAAACACACAGTTAGGTGAAAATCACTGGTCTTATTGTCAACAATCTGAGTATGTCTGACATTTACTTTGATGCTATGTGTTCCCTCACCAAAAAAAGACTGAGAGAGAGAGAGAAGGAACTACATAAATCTGTTCTGTTTAAAAGAAAAGAAAAAAGCAATTATAGAAATTAAGTCTGCAACAGTCAAATGCTGCGGTGGTTTTAAAAGACAGTCACAAATTCTTTGATACTCTTCCTATTGAGATATGGGGTCTAAGTCTCCTCCCCTCTGGGCAGGCTTCTGCCTGCTTTACCCAATAGAATAGAATGGAAGTATTATTGTGGATCTTTCAAGGTTAGGTCATAAAAGGCCATGCAGCTTCCACTCATCTTGTTTGCTGAGATATAAACCACCCTGTAGGAAATCTGACTACTCTGAGGTTGATACGTTTGGAGTAACCATGTGTAAGCCCTTGGGCTGGCAGTCTAGTTGAGCTTAACATTTCAGTCACTGTCATCAAGGGACCAGACGTATTAGTGAGGAACCCATCTTGGAGTGGATCCTCCAGCCCGAAGTCTCCTAATCATAACCATTCCTGTTACCCTCAACCATTTAAGTCTTCCCAGCTGAGGCCCCAAACATCGTGGAGCAGAGACAAAGCATCTCTGCTGTGCCTTGTCCAAATTCCTGATGCACACATTCAATAAGCATAATAAAATGTTTGTGGTTCTATGTCACTAAATTTAAGGATGCATGTTACATGGCAGTAAATGACTAGGGCAACTATAACTTGGGCAATAGTTTGGGAAGGCTTAGTTAGATATGTTTTCTATGAAGGTTAAAGAGAGCCAAGGCTAAATCTCTAAATATCATAGTTTAAATTTTTTTTTCTTTTTTCTTGTATAAAGGATAAGATTCTACATCACTTCAAAGAACCATTTCTACAGGTCATCAATTGAGAACCCTTCTATTAAAATTAAATAAATGGCAGATTCACTACAAGTGGGACAAATAAAGGTAAATCTCCCATGTTCTATCTATTAAACCAATGCCTACCACATTAATTTTATTTTCTCCCCATTCAATTAGACATTATTCTATGATCTGGGTCATGTAGACATTTTGGAATGCAACGTGACTTGGAAAATACTGGTGGATCGGCAGTCAACATCTATTTTAGTGCAATGTGCTCTCCTGCAGGAGTTAGAAAACTAACTACATTTTCCAAACTTCCTTGCAGCTTCTAGATGCATTTAAGTTTTGTCAATCAGATGCACTTGCATGAGTTTTGGAAGGCAGGATTTCAGCTGGGACTGTACTTCTGTTGCTTCCAAGTGAATGTACATCTGTCGAAGTCTTTGTTTTTTTCATGGTATGCTTAGCAGAGTCCCGTTTCTAGCCACTCATTCATTTTGTGACTATCATGATACAGTTTATCCATTGTGTGGGTCACGCTATTGGGTGTAGTTTTTTTTTCTGTAGCCAGTGGTACAGGCAGCAGCTGTCTGAAAACAATAAGTAACTGATTGTGGCCACAGTGGTATAGTTCTGGAGCCAGCTTCCAGATCACCGGGTAGGCAGTGGTTGTCAAGTGTTGCTTTGGGAGCATTTTGGAAAGTCCACTGACAGATGGCTTCTTCAGCCCTCTCAATGATTCTGTGAACTTTTTAATTCCCTAGAATAAATTTATTCCTGCTCAAACTAGTAAGAGAAGATGTTGCTCTCTGCAGCTACACCCTGGCCAATGCACCATAACTAACTAATAAACATTTGCTCTAATGACATCCCCCGGACAATATGTGTCTTACCTTGATAGGTTCTCCATGGGGAGACATGACTTCATCAGAGAGGTCCATCATCTTCAGGGCCATCAGTGCTATCTGAACAGCATGGGTATCACTTTCTTTGTGTAATCCTCCAGCTACACAATATGCATCACCTATGGTCTCCACCTAGACACAGCACATTTTCCAAATTATAAATGAAAACTCAAGAAGAGTCATAGCATAAATCATGTAGCAGAAATTAAGAATCATACAGCAGAAACTTTAGTGTTAGGTCCTATGGAAAATCAGGTTAAATAAGTTACTCTCAGAAATGGCTTTCTTTGCTAGCAAGCAGCCATCTAAGATGCATCAGTTGGTCCCAACACACCTGGAGTAAAGGAGAATGAAGAACACCAAAGACACAAGGAAAGTATTAGCCCAAGACACAGAAGGGGCCACATAAACCAGAGACTTCATCAGCCTGAGACCGGAAGAACTAGACGGTGCCTGGCTACCACCAATGACCGCCCTGACAGGGAACACAACAGAGTCTGTGATGGAGCAGGAGAAAGGTGGGGTGCAGAACTCAAGTTCTAGTAAAAAGACCAGACTTGATGGTTTGACTGAGACTGGAGGGTCCCTGGAAGACATGGCCCCTGGACTTTCTGTTGGCCTAGAGCTGAAACCATTCCCAAGGTCAACTCTTCAGACAAAGATTAGACTGGACTATGGGACATAAAATGATACTCGTGAAGAGTGTGCTTCTTAGCTCAAGTAGATACATGAGACTAAATGGGTGGCTCCTGTCTGGAGGTGAGAGAAGGCAGAGAGGGTCAGTAGCTGGCTGAATGGACACGGGAAGTCCGGGGTGGAAAGGAGAAGCGTGCTGTCACAGTATAGGGAGAGCAACTAGGGTCACACAGCAATGTGTGTATAAACTTTTTGTATAAGAAATTTACTCGAATTGTAAACTTTCACTTAAAACACAATTAGAAAAAAGAAAGAAAGCAATGGCTTTCTTTATCACGTACCTAGGTGAATCCAGACACTCAGAATTCAAAGGTTTGCACCCCTGACACCAGGGCACTGCTCGGAGAGGTAACACAATCCTGTGAACACCACACCAAGTGGCTTGCACTCCCAGACTTGCCATCCACTCACCATACTATTTAACCTTTTTCCCCCCCATGTAAAATGGCACTTGCAAAAACAAATGATGTATTTTGGATTTATAATAAATTCTTAAAGATAATGGGATCAATTACTGATTTTACATCTCCTCAGCACAAAAGTGTTTTTACCAAGTCATTATTCAATAAATGTCGTATCACTATCGTAAGAATGTGCAATGTAAAATTAAGACATTAACAGTCATACGAGTAATAGAGTCCTTTTCTAAAGGACTTCTGGGATTCTCAAGCCCTTCCATGTGTCCACCTGAATATTACTCACAAAGTTTAGAAACCATGAGGTCTAACCAGGAGATAAAAACAATGGTGCCTGGAAGGCTATTAGAAATAAAGCTACTATATAAATTCCAAGTACTATTATTTTCATTATCATTATTATTGTCATTACAGGAAATTTTTACTTGTCTGTTAATACTGACTACAGAAAGCTAATACTTAATTTAAATGCACAAATAATCCCCCAAATTCTAAAAGTTCCAATGTTCTTCTCCTCTAAATATTTATTGTAACTTATCAGGTCGTATCATGTTTCTTATCCAAAGCTTCCAATGTGGAGGGATGGGGGTGAGATAGGAAAGAAAGTGGTAAACCCCTGCAGTAATTCCCCACTTCACGCTGAGTAAATGCTCATTCACATATAATGGCTCCAAGGTTCTTCTTGACCAATCTTCCTGCTAATCTGACTTTAACTCCTAACTCTCCCACTTGTTCACTTTGTTCCAATGCCACTGGCCTCCTGGTTACCCCTCAAACACACCAACATGTTCCTACTTGCTATTCCTTTTGCCTGGAACCCTATCTCTGCAGCTAACCACTTAGCTTGCCCCTCATTTCCTTTAATCTCTGCTAAAACATCACCCTATTAAAAAGGCCTATCCTGATCACCATGTATGAAATAGTAATCACCCTTTTACCCTACTCATGCCTCCCCATTACCATGCTTTCATTTTTTCCTCCAGAACATTTACACCGACTAAAATACTATGCATTACCCATTTGTTTATTGTCTTTATTTCCCCTAGTTGCATGCAGATGTCAGAGTTTGTCTATTTTGTTCACTCTTAAATTGCCACCATCCAGTGAGTTCTAAACAAGTACGTCTGCTGATGGATGAACCAGGCAGCAATGCCTCCCTTAAGCTTCTCCTCAGCAATGAATACGTAGAAATGCTTATCACAATGGCTACTATATCACAAGTGTTCAATAAATGTTACCCATTAGGAGACATAGTAGCCCCACCCCTACTTGGTGTAAGGTGTTTATTTCCTGTGCTCCTGTAACACCTCAGTGAGGGGACCCGGGCATCCATCAAGTCATATGGAAACCCCGCATGTGTCAGTCCTGCCCCACTGCTCCTTCCACACACACCCCTCACACGCCAGTGAACTTTTCTCATAGGGATTGTGTCCTCCATCTCTTTATCCAGGATCCAACTTACGCTGGCAAATGTAGGTTGACAAGTCAATATTTGTTAAAACAATGGATAAATGAATACAGAAATAAAAATGACCAAAAGATTGAAAGACAGAAAGAAAATGAAATGAAATAAAGCCCTGGTACAATCAGAAGAAGTAGAGATGTATTTGAATTGTGGTGTTGCTGAAGAATATTGAATATACCATGAACTACCACAAGAATGAACAAAATCACTCTTAGAAGAAATACAACCAGAATGCTCCTTAGAAGTGATGAGGATGGCAAGACTTCGGCTTGCTTACTCTGGACATGTCATTAGGGAAGACCAATTGCTAGAAAAGGGCATCATGTTTGGTAAAGTAGAAGGTCAGCAAAAACGAGGGAATCCTTCAATGAGATGGACGGACACAACAGCCACAACAATGGACTGAAACATACCAACAATCATGACGATGGCACAGGATTGGGCAACGTTTCATTCTCTTATACAAAGGTCACCATGAGTAAGAGCCGACATGAGGGTAACTAATAACTACAACAATTAGGTCCTGCAATAAATAAGGTTTACTATTCCTAGACTACCTAAGGTTAACTATTCCTTGGAAGTCATCACGATCATAGTCAGTCTATAATTATACATTCTGTACATTTAAATTTAGGAGCCCTGGTTGCTCCGTGGTTAAGCTCTCAGCTGCTAACTGAAAGGTCAATGGTATGAACCCACCAGCTGCTCCACAGGAGAAAGATGTGGCAATATGCTTCTGTAAAGACTACAGCCTTGGAAACCCATTGGGACAGTTCTACTCTGTCCTATAGGGTTGCTATTAGTTGGAATCAACTCGATGGTAATGGGTTTCTATCTTAAATTTATCCCTTGGTTAAGATTCTTTGTTTTCAGTTGTCTCCAGGAATTTTCACATAAAATCAGAAGTGAAGAGAAGTAGAAATAAGAACTGGGAGAGAAAGTGATTCACCATCTTAGCTCAAGCTACAGTTGGATTAATCAAGGGAACTTCCTGGCCACCATCTTCGTAGTAAGCAGCATAGCTTCTGAATACTTGACAGGCATAACCAAAGTTCCAACAAGCTGAAGCTTGCAGCAGAAGAGGTCTACTTCTGCTAAAAATCCCAGCAGTGTGCAAAGCAAAGATTTCTGAGGGAGGAGACATTCTCAAGATAGAAAATATCTACAAATATAGTAAATTCTACAAGAGGCCTTCAAGCTTAATATAACTGAAGCCAATTATTTTATCTGTAATTATACATGACCCTCTTTTTTTCCCAAGGGAATCTTGGCTCTGCCTGGAATTTCCTGTTAGAATTTTCAAAACACAAGGTTTTACTTCTGACATTTAGAATGAAATGAGGGAGGGATTTACTTAGTCCCACAAATAATATTTATTTCCTCCTTAATAATTTATTTCATGTTGGGTTAAGCTTTGAAATGCCAGACTGTCATGTGGCAAATTAAGAAAATTATTCGTACCACACAAATGAGAAGAATGCTTTATTTTTAATGTCAATGTCTAAAACAACCTAAAATAATTTAAATCATTAATTAAGGTTTAACAGTAGAGAAGCAGGTAGAACATGAAATCTCTCTCATTAATAATGTTATTAGGTGCCACTGAGTCTGTTTCAACTCAGAGTGACGTTATGGGACAGAGTAGAACTGCTCTCTAGGGTTTCCTAGGCTGTAACCTTTACAGGAGTAGACCACCAACCAGGTCCTTCTCCCATGGAGCCGATGGGTAGATTCAAACTGCCAACCATGTGGTTAGTAGCTGAGCACTTAACCGTTGCACCATCAGAGTTTCTGCTTACTAACAATAGTTACATTAAAAAAAATAACTTTATTACGTGTTAGGGACATCACTGTTTATCCCCAGCGCCTAAAATGATGCACTCAATAAATACTGGTTATCTGACGAATAACATATGTCATCTACCATGATCTTTACAACAATTCTGTTAACGAGGATTATGGGACAAACTGCGTATTATTCGTGCATATAAACTCTGGGTGGATGTTATTTTCTCTGTTTTAGAAGTGAGAAAGATATTTAATTTATTCAGTTGATGAAGCAAATAAGGTAGAGAACAAGATCTGAACACAGGTCTTTCTTATCCAAATGTTTCTGCTTTGCCTTCTCTATGATAACGCCATAAGTAGGTGATTTGGATGTCCATTAACTGGTCATACAAAGTATCATGTTAAGCATGTATTGCATTAATCTATATAAAGACAGTTTTAATTATTCTAGAGTTTCTTTACTTTTACAAACACAAAGGATAATTTTCCCTGCATATCCTGAATTATCTCATGCTTAATATTTCAACTCAGGTTCCACAATCAAGTGTCGGGTCCATTTGACTTTTAAACTTTACCTGTTCATACGTCCTGATTTAGGAAATAATATTGGAGTTATTATTCCCTCTCCTTGAGCATACAAAATGTGATCCAGCTGGAGCTGAGCTCACAAGGGCTCACAAGGACTCTCAAGGACTCTCAAGGACACATCAACTGGGCCCTGAGGTATAAAGACAATAGCTAAAATAATCTTGGAAAATATCTTTTAGGGAAACTTTCATATAAATCCCATCAAACAGAACACAAAGACTTTCCACTTTTATCTTTTTCGATTAGTATTTAGTGAATAGGAATGTGCTGGACCAACGAAGACCCTCCTGATTCTCGTTACTGAAACGCGTACCAATGATTGTTAAGAAAGCTTATTCAAAATGTAAGAATACAATTTCTAGCCAATCAGTGAAAAAATGATGCTTTCAATGATTCTACCCATTTTGTGATGTTGATTTATACTGATGATTCTGTAACCTTCCTTGGATTCGGGCAGACATTCTAGCACTGGCAGCATGCTTGTCCACTTCCCACTTTTGTCCTTTTGAATATACGCCAAATAAAACTTCCTTTTTACTTCACTAAACTCTGTGATGTTTTTCCCCGACAACAGTCCTAAACTCCATCCTCCTCTCAGCCCACCACCTCTCCATTTTATTCTTTGAGAAGACAACGTGGCAAACCTCTTACAGAACAATTATCTCTGTTTCTGAGCAGATTCAGAGCTATTCCTGGCCTGAGAACACCCATGCGACTAATGCACAGTGCCTGAGCCCAGGATGTGACCTGCACAATCCTGCAGAGAAAGCCTTTCATTTGCATTATACTTTAGGTCCCAGGCACAGTGGTTTTTCTCAGTGATGTTAGCCTGCAAAGCAGTCTTTTCCTTGCTCTTCCCCTACCTTATAGACATCCAGCTCTCCACACTGCTGGTCAAAGCGGGTGTAGAGCTCATTGAGCATGGTGATGACCTGCAGGGGCGAGCACTGGGAGCAGATGGCAGTGAATCCAACAATGTCTGAGAAAAGCATGGTGACATTATTGAACTTCTTGGCTTGCACAACTTGTCCTTGCCATAGCTGCTGAGCAACTTCGCAGGGAAAAATAGAGCACAGAAGATCTACTGTCTTCTTCTTCTCCTCCTCCAGGGCTTGGTGGGCTTGCTCAAGGGTGGCCTTGAGCTTCCCCAGCCTCTTCTTCAGGCCATCTTGAGCTCGGGCTTGTTCACCTATCAAGACCACATCCCTCAGTGCATTATGAATCGGGATGTCTGAAAGGTAGAGCCCTCGTCCTGTGAAATCTTCTAATCTGTCCACACAGGGTGATCCCAAGAACAAGATCGCACTGGATTCAACAATGTAGATCATTTGGCCTTTCAGGTCCATAACCTGTGAAGCAAAGGAGAACCTATTGTTGTGTTATATCCAAGTATTTCCAACAACTTTCTGAGACAAAAGGAGAGGAAGTAGATATAGTGATAATGCCTTTGTATTTAAACTCTATTTTTCCAACCTGCTGAAAAAGAACAATAAGCTTTCATATAGTTTCATATAGTTCCAATTTGCTATGAGTTCTAAAATGCATGCAGACATTTGAAGAATTGAGTACAATATCAAAATCATGACTTTCAATGAACAATGTAAAACCTTCTTGTTTCAGGGCTTTCTCACTGAGCAGCATGCTGATGCGTTTGTTACTGTATTTTTGTACTCTTGTGAAAATGTAATTTTTCCTTTTTTTGGTCTTCCCCTGTTTTAGCAGGTTTCTTCTCTCCTCCTCTCCCTTTATCCCGAGCTAATTGTTCCAACTGGCACGTATGGAAGTTAAAAAGCCTCCAAACATAAAATTTTTGTCCTAATTCTTTTCTGTCAGAAGCATTCCCTTAGAGCTATCTTTTTGGAAGCCACTATTCTCCCAGAGACTTCAGTATGAGGCACCTGGCTCTCATATGAGAGGTTACTTCCCTATTTCAACTTTGCCTTAAGCCCCTAACCAACCCATTGTTGACAATGCAAACAAAAGAAGAACCCAGCCAGCAGAGAGGACTGTACCCAGGTGGGTCTTGAGAGAGGTGGAGCTTCAAGTAATCATTCTCAATCACCAGACGATTTCCTTGGATGAGTGTGGACAAACGATGTATGTATATGTGTGTTCACTGCAGCAAAAAGTCAAAAAACACCCCAAAGGTCCTTTAGTGGGTGACTGGTTCAGTAAGGTACAACCATACAATGGAATACCACATAACCTTTCAAACAGTGAACAAGACTTACATCTAATGACGTGGAAGAATGTCCAAAATATATTGTTTAGTAAAAAAAAAAAAAAAAGAGGAAGTTGTAGAATAGTATTTTGTTTTGTTTTAAACAAAGGCTTACATAACTAGTGTTTTATATTTTTTGCATTAATGAATATCTTTCAGTATCAGCTATTTTTTAAGCATTTAGATATTTTTATGAGGGCAAAAACAAAAGAAAGCTGTTTTCATTTTTGGGAACAAACGTGTGTGTCTAAAAGTTCTCCGCATCACAAGAGGCTCTGTTGCCTTGGCTTGGCTTGAGCTAGCAGCTCTGATTTAGTAAACTTTCCTTCTGAGACAGAATAATCACCAAAGCACTCCACTGTGAGGTGACAGAATATGGCTTTTTTTTTTTACATTCTGTAACAATCAAAATTTTTTTAAATCATTTATTTTGCCATTTCTATTACATAATGACTAAAAAATCCATTTAATGGCCTCCTGTGAGAAACAGGGTTTTTTTGTGTTTTTTTAATTCACTGTGAAACAATACTTCTTAATATTCCAAATTAAGTCAGCTATTTGATGATAAGTGAAAACATATTTTACACATTTATTTAACATACAATTTAGTTATAAAATACTCCATAATGATTGTAAAAGGTTGACTGTATTCAATAAATATTTGATAAACTAACGAATCAAGTAAGTAAGCAAATGAATGCAGAAATGATTTGCTTTAAATTTATTCCAGCCTTAAAGTTATTGTAGATTTAGTCATGCAAATATTTAAAATCATTATTTTAGTCATGCAAATATTTTAAAATGATTTGCATGGCTTCAAATCCTTTGATAAAACATTTTGATAAAAAATATAAATGTTTTATCAAAGTATTTGAAGTCATGCAAGGTATTTTTGCTCTTTGTTTCTAGCCCTTAAATATGAAAACTAAAATCCCAAAATAATAAGATATGTTTTCCTTACCCTTGAAGATTTTTTCATGGAGTTGTCCCATCTCCTCACTCGCACAATAAATTGCATATTCAACATAGTCATGATCCCACTAAAAGTTTGGTTGATTTTTGGAGTAAGAATTTCAAAGTACTCTTCAAAATTAGGCGTTCCTTGAAAATCTCTCCTACTCATCAGCCTTCTAATACCATTGCCAAACTGTAGAATCATCATATCTTTGTCAAACATGAAATGGAATGGAAATGTCTTACAGAAGAGCGATGCGGGAATCACCAGAGAGGACTGGGGTTTGCCTGGGGACAATGATGGCTTGGTGCTTTTGACGTGAACAGAGTATAACAAGTAGGGCTGGTTTACAAACTCGCTGCAATCATTACGGAAGCAGGGCGGCATTAATGACACTTCCACTTCAGTTTCGTACAATATGTGAGCAGCTGCCTTAATGATGCCTGGAAGAATCAGGGACGTGGTTCTCTTAGGAAAGAAACAGTAAACGTTTAAGAAATTGTGGTCTTTATCTAGGCACAGAATGGAGGCGTCATCAAACCAGCCTCTCTTTTCTGCTTCCTGGCAATGGCTGCTCTGTTTCAAAAGGGTACTGAAGCTATTTAAAAAATCTTTAAGGGTTCCTCCAACCACGCCTAGGATGTGTTCATCTTCCTCATAACATATTTTAAAAAGCTCTTCGCCGAAAGATTCTTTGAGGATCTCCACAGGAACTCCTGAAAGCAGAGAACACATTGTCTGCCACTCAAACGTGTCATCTTGGTAGAGCTGTGCTATTATTACGATTTTCCACGTTGTTTTATTTGGTGATTTAGTTCCCTTTATATCTGATAAAAAGGAGCTCTGGTGACACACTTGTTAACTGCTCAACAGCTAACCAAAAGGTCGGCAGTTCAAATTCACCAGCTGCTCCTTGGAAACCCTGTGGGGCAGTTGTATTCTATCCTATAGGGTTGCCCTGAGTGGGGAAGACTCCAAGGCAGTGGGTTTATACCTGGTAATAAGAATTTCAACTAAAATTAAACATCTATATTCAAATTATCTACATAGATTAGCGTATAAAATTCTGGTAACTTACATTCAATAAACATCTCAAATCAGTTAATCTTAAAAGAATGGTCAATTAATAAAACATTTTAATCTCCTTTAAACTTACCTATAAAAGAAAAATTAGAATTCTAGGGTCAAGTCTATTTCAGAAAAAGTTCTCCCACCTTTCTGTTAATAGTGAAATGAATACATCTTCCTAAAGGGGTACTCTCCCTCTTGAGCCTCCAGCAGTATAAGAGTTAACCACTGGAATTAATTTAAAATCACTAGTCCTTGAAACTTAATTTTGTCATTTTTATCTACACAGGATTATGAAGTTTTTTTCTGAATAAATTGCATTTTTGTTGTTTAATGTTACCTGAATAAAAATTGGCATTGAATATATTACAATGAAACCTGTGAGAGCTGGAACTTGATAGCACTGCCTTGTTTTTCTGGGTCTTGCAAGTCTTCCACCTTTGACAGGGTGCAGTCTTACCACTTTTCTATTGCTCGTTTTAGTGGAAAATACACTATTTGAGTATTGAGTTTTCCTTCTCTGACAGGTTTCCACCTTACACAGATTCTGGCTTTCCCAAGTTTTACTGTATTTATATTCTACAGCTTCTCTTTCCCTAGCCTCCTTTATTCTCTAATCTTTGTGCATCATATTTTTCTCATCTGTAACACAGGAAAAGCAATACTGCCCTCTTCACTGCACTGTTGGGATGTGTGGGAATCAGATTTAAAATAGTGCTTGCTCCCAGAAAGAGCTAAGTATAAGTTAGCTATTATTATTATCTTAACATTTGGTACATTTAAAAAGATTTAACCTCTTGGTCCATGTACTCAAACTTTCAAAAGGACAATATGACAAAGCCACTCACTCTAACCCCCAACAAACTCATCACTAAAGTGAGAACACTGTTAATGTATTAGAGAGTGTGACCCTATTCTCATGATTGCTTACAACTTAAAAAAAAAAATCCTTCAGTTCTACTTTGTTGAGTAGAATTTTCCATGCACAAATGAGGCAAACCTATAGTTAGGTTCCAGACTAAGGCTTGTGAATATCTATGAGTCAGCTTCCCATCCAGCCTTATCTACTTCACAGCAAATAAACATTATAGGAAGAGGAAATGTTTTATGTCTAACAAAAATATATCATATAAAAAAGCGTTACTGAAGAGGTGGGGCCAAAATGGCAGAGTAGTCAGACGCTTCCTGTGGTTCTTCTTACAACAAAGACCAGAAAAAAACAAGGGAATTGATTATATATGACAGTTTAGGAGCCCTGAACATCAAACACAAAGTTGAGGAATTGGACTGAGTGGCAGGGGGAGGGAGAGACGGTTTGGTAGCACCGAAGAGTTGCCAGAACTGAGCCGGCAGGGGCCAGCATCCTTCAAGCTGGATAGGCTCGCAAGCTCGGTGAGGCAAGCAGAGGGGCTCGGGAGGCATTTTCTACATCAGGAGAGGCCCAGCAGCAGAGAGTCTACTCTGGCATCCAAAACCAGGGAAAAGCAGTGCTCAACTGGCAAAAGATAAGTACTTGCGTCTGGTCTACCAGGCAGATCAAAAAACATCCCCTTTGGGAAAAACCTCTCCCCATTTGCCTCCCCTCTTCCTGCTCTGCACTGAATCTCTGGCTGGCTTCAGTGACTGCCAAGTCCCCTGGGCCAGAAGTAAGACCTGCCACGTGCCCCAAGCCATTCTCCTGGCCTTGGAGAGAGAAAAAATTAACAAACAGGAAAAAATAATTTGCCAGCTCCCCTAAGCCAGGAACTCAGGGTAGGCACAGCTCCTGTGCCTAGTAACACACATAAGGGGTTCACAGACTCTGAATGTTTTGATCCTGCATAGACCTGTGTTGGTCCAATTCAACAGCGTAGGCCCTCATTACCACAGTACAACAGGGTATATACCTGAAGTCTAACTTCAACTGTTTCAGCTATATGGTGAAGTGGCAGGTTCGTGACATTTGACACTGCTCTGCCCATTAAGCAGGTTCCTCACCTACCCACATCAGAAGCCTGAGTACTGGTGGCTCCACCCATGCCACCTAGCCACTCAAAACAGGGGTCTGAGAATAAGTGGTACCCCAGCCCTTACAGCCAACAGCACTGAGTGCTCATAGTCTGGTGCAAAGCCTACCCACCTATGTGCTTTAGGAAACAGGGAGATGCTTTCCTCCCAGACACTCAGGGGCAGCCGTCAGCCCCCTGCCTTGTTCAGCACATGACCCCTTACTGCAGCTAGATACCTGTACCTACACCAATCACCCAAGCCTGTCTGGGACTGTAGGTGAGGGCCTGCACCACACACTTGATGACAAAACACCTTGACACCTGAGCTGAATCCATACAAGAAAAGTAAACAGATTCCTGGGCTCATGTATCTAGTAACAGATCTAACCACCTGGTGACAGGACAATAGAGCTCCAAAGGCACCAATAATCGAACTAGCTCACATGAACAGCCTATTTGGGCATATGAAAACAAAACAAAACAAAACAAGAAGCTAGGACACAGTAAGCAAACATAAAATAAATAAATTACAATCACTTATTGATGGCTCAGAGACAACAGTCAGTATCAAATCACATAAAGAGGCAGACCATGATGGCTTCAGCGAACTCCGAAAATAAAGAATCGAGAAATTTTCCAGAGGAAGAGAATTTCTTGGAATTACAAGAGGTAGAACACAAAAGATTAATATACAGAACTCTTCAAAAGATCGGAAAGAGATGAGGCAAAACACAGACCAAGCTAAGGAACATACAAACAAAGCAAGAGAGGATCTTAAGAAAGTTATTCAAGAGCAAGATGACAAATTTAATAGGCTGCAAGAATCCATAGAGAGGCAGGAATAAGAAATCCCGGATTAACAATAAAATTTCAGAATTAGACAACTCAATATAAAGTCACAGAAGAAGAACTGAAGCAATAGAAGTCAGAATTAGTGAGATTGAAGGTAAAGCACTTGACACCAACCTATTCGAGTTAAAATCAGATAAAGGAATTTAAAAAAAATGAAGCAACTCCAAGAATTACGTGGGACTCTACCACGAGGAAAAACCTATGAGTGACTGGAGTACCAGACTGGGGATGATAACAGAAAATAGAGAGACAACTGTTGAAGATTGGTTGGCAGAAAACTTCCCTGATATCATGAAAAATGAGAACGTATCCAAGATGCTCATCGAACCCCACTAAGGTAGATCCCAAAAGAAAGTCACTAAGACATACTATAATCAAACTTGCCAAAACCAAAGATAAAGAGAGAATTTTAAGAGCAGCTCGGGATAAATGAAAAGTCATCTACAAAGGAGAGTCAATAAGACTAAGTTTGGACTACTCAGCAGAAACCATGCAGGCAAGAAGGCAATGGGACGACATATATAAAGCCTTGAATGAAAAAAATTGCTAGCCAGGAATTATATATCCAGCAAAACTGTCTCTCAAATATGATGGCAAAATTAGGGCATTTCCAGATAAATAGAAGTTTAGGGAATTTGGAAAAACCACACCAAAATTACAAGAAATGCTAAAGGGAGTCCTCCATTTAGAAAATCAATAACCTCAGATAAAAACCCCAGACTAGAGCACAGGACAGAGCAACCACATATCAACCCAGATAGGGAAGCCACAAAAATAAAGCTAAAATGCTGAAAACAGGGAAACAGAGACATCAACTTGTAAAAGATGACAATATTAAAAAAACAAAGAGGGACGAAAAATGTAGTCACAAATCTTTCATATGGAGAGGAAGTCAAGGTGACTTGAAGAAATAAAACATTGGTTTTAACTGAGAATAATAGGGGTAAATATTACGGTAACCACAAAGGAAACTAACAATCCTACATATCAAAATAAAAAACAAGAAAAACATAAAGATTCAGCAAATAAAAAATCAACAAAAATGAAAAAGATGTAAAGAAAAATAACTCACCACAGAAAAATAAGAAGAACAAAGAAACTGTCAACCACGCAAAAAAGACAGCAAAATGACAGCACTAAACACATACCAATCAATAACTACACTGAATGTAAATGGACTAAATGCACCAATAAAGAGACAAAGAGTGGCAGAATGGAAAAAAAAAAAGAAAAACCCACAACCAATCTATATGCTGCCTACAACAGACATACCTTAGACTTAGAGACACAAACAAACTAAAACTCAAAGGATGGAAAAAAATATATCAAGCAAACAACACTCAAAAAAGAGGAGGAGTGGCAATATTAATCTCCGACAAAACAGACTTTAAAGTAAAATACACCATAAAGGATAAGGAAGGACACTGTATAATGATAAAAGGGTCATTATACCAGGAGGCCATAACTGTAATAAATATTTATGCTCCCAACAATATTGCTCAAAAATACATAAAACAAACTCTAACAGCATTGAAAAGAGAGACAGACAGCTCCACAATAATAGTAGGAGACTTCAACACACCACTTTTGGTTAAGGACAGAACATCCAGAGAGATGCTCAATAAAGACACAGAAGATCTAAATGCCACAATCAACCAACTTGATCTCATGGACTGACACCAAACACTCCACACTCCACCAACAGCAGCCAAGTATACTTTCTATTCCAGAGCACATGGAACATTCTCCAGAATAGACCACATATTAGGCCATAAAGGTAGCCTTAACAGACTCCAAAGCATCAAAATACTAGAAAGCATCTTTTCTGACCATAAAGCCATAAAAGCAAAAATCAGTAACAGAAAAAGCAAGGAAAAAAATCAAACACTTGGAAACTGAACAACCCTTTGCTGAAAAACTACTGGGTTATAGAAGAAATTAAGGATGGAATTCATAGAATTAAATGAGAAAGACAGCACATCCTACCAGACCTGTGGGACACAGTAAAATCAGTGCTCAGAGGTCAGTTTATAGCAATAAATCCACACATCCAAAAAGGAAGAAAGGGCCAAAATCATAACATTAATCCTACAACTGGAGCCAGTATAAACAGAGCAGCAAAAGAAGCCCTGGGGCACCAGAAGAAAGGAAATGAAAACAATTAGAGCAGAATTAAATGAAATAGAGAATAGAAAAACATCTGAAAGAGTTAACAAGACCAAAAACTGGTTCTCTGAAAAGATCAACAAAATCTATATACCACTGGCCAAATGGACAAAAGAAAAATAGGAGAGGAAGCAAATAACCTGTATAAGAAATGAGATGGGCGATATCACAACAGACCCAACTGAAATTAAGAGTCACAACAGAATACTAAGAAAAACTGTACTCTAACAAATTCAAAAACCTACAGGAAATGGACAAATTTCTAGAAACTCACTACCGACCTAAACTAACACACCCAGAGGTAGAACAACTAAAATAAACTTATAACGAAAGAAGAGATTGAAAAGGTAATTAAAAAAACTCCCCCCCCAAAAAAAAAAAGAAACCCTAGCCTGGACAGTTTTACCAGAGAATTCTCCAAACATTCAGAGAAGAGTTAACACCATTACTACTAAAGGTATTTCAAAGCATAGAAAAGGATGGAATACTCCCAAACTCATTTTATGAAGCCAGCACAACCCTGATTCCAAAGCCAGGTAAAGACACCACAAAAAAAGAAAATTACAGACCAATAACCCTTACAAACACTGACGCAAAAATCCTCAACAAAATTCTAGCCAATAGAATTCAACAAAGTATCAAAAAAATAATTCACCATGATCAAGTGGGATTTATACCAGGTATGCAAGGACGGTTCAACGTTAGAAAAACAAATCATTGTAATCTATCATATTAATAAAACAAAAGACAAGAACCATATGATTTTATCAATTGATGCAGACAAGGCATTTGAAAAAGTCCAACACCCATTCATGATAAAAACTCTCAACAAAATAGGAATAGAAGGGAAATTCAACAACATAATTAAGGGCATTTATACAAAGCCAACAGCCAACATCGTCCTAAATGGAGAGAGTCTAAAAGTATTCCCCCTGAGAACGGGAACTAGACAAGGATGCTCTTTATCACCACTCTTATTCAACACTGTGCTGGAGGTCCTAGCCAGAGCAATTAGGCTAGAAAAAGAAATAAAGGGCATCCAAATTGGTAAGGAAAAAGTAAAAGTACCTCTATTTGCTGATGATATGATCTTATACACAGAAAACCCCAAAGAATCCACATGAAAACTACTGGAACTAACAGAAGATTTCAGCAAAGTATCAGGAAACAAGAGAAACATACAAAAATAATTTGGATTCTACTACATCAACAAAGAGAACCTCGAACAGGAAATCACCAAACCAATACCATTTATAATAGCCCCCAAGAAGATAAAATACGAATAAATCTAACCAGAGATGTAAAAGATCTATACAATGAAAACTACAAGACACTACTGAAAGAAACCAAGAGAGACCTGCATAAGTGAAAAACATACCTTGCTCATGGACAGAAGACAACATTGAGAAAACGTCAATTCTACTCAAAGCTATCCACAGATATGATGCAATACCAATCCAAATTCCAACAGCATTTTTTAATGAGATGAAGAAACAGATCATCAACTTCATAAGGAAAGGGACGAGTCCTCGGTGAAGTAAAGCATTACTGAAGAAGAACAAAGTGGGAGGCCTCACACTACATGATTTTAGAACCTATTATAATGCCACGGTAGTCAAAACAACCTGGTACTGGTACAGCAACAGATATAGACCAATGGAACAGAATTGAGAATCCATGGATAAATTCATCCACCTATGAGCAGCTGATATTTGACAAAGTCCCAAAGTCTGTTATTTAGGGAAAAGACAGTCTCTTTAACAAACGGTGCTGGCATAACTGGATATTCATCTGCAAAAAACTGAAACAAGACCCATATCTCACACCACGCAGAAAAAGTAACTCAAAATAGATCAAAGACCTAAATATAAAATCTAAAACAATAAAGGTCATGGAAGAAAAAATAGGGACAATGCTAGGAGCCCTAATACGTGGCATAAAGAGTATATAAACCATAAGTAACAATGCACAAACAACAGAAGAGAAAACAGATAACTGGGAGCTCCTAAAAATCAACACTTAGCTCATCAAAAGACTTCACCAAAAGAGTCAAAAGACAACCTACATACTGGGAAAAAATTTTGGGCTACGGCAAATCCGATCAGCATCTAATCTCTAAAATCTATAAGATACTGCAAAACCTCAACAGCAAAAAGACAAATAACCCAATTAAAAAATGGGCAAAGGATATGAACAGGCACTTCACCAAAGAAAACATTCGGGCGGCTAACAGACACATGAGGAAATGCTCACAATCATTAGCCATTAGAGAAATGCAAATCAAAACTAAATAAGATACCATCTCACCCCAACAAGGCTAGTCGTAATCCAAAAAACACAAAATAATAAATGTCAGAGAGGTAGTGGAGAGACTGGGACACTTATACACTGTTGGTAGGAAAGTAAAATGGTACAACCACTTTGGAAAGAGATTTGGCGCTTTGTTAAAAAGCTAGAAATAGAAGTACCATACAATCCAGCAATCCCACTCCTTGGAATACATCCTAGAGAAATAAGAGCCATCACACGAAAAGATATATGCACACCCATGTTCACTGCAGCACTGTTCACAATAGCAAAAAGATGGAAACAACCTCGGTGCCCATCATGGACGAATGGATAAACACATTATGGTATATTCACACAAAGGAATACCACACTATGATAACGAACAACGATCAGTCTGTGAAACATAACACAGAGGAATCTGGAAGGCATTACACTGAGTGAATTTAGTCAGTTACAAAAGGACAAATGTTGTATAAGACCACTATTATAAGAACTCAAGAAAAGGTTTAAACACAGAAGAAAACATTCTTTTATGGTTAGAAGGGTGGGGAGGGAGGGCGAGGGGTATTCACTAGCTAGACAGTAGACAAGAATTACGTGAAGGAAGGACAGTACACACTACAGGTGAAGTCAGCACAACGGGACTAAACCAAAGCTAAGAACTTTCCTGAATACAATCAAACACTTTGAGGGACAGAGTAGCAGTAGCAGGGGCCTGGGGACCATGGTTTCAGGGGACATCTAGGTCAACTGGCGTAACAAAGTTTATTAAGAATATGTTCTGCATCCCACTTTGGTGGGTGGCATCTGGGGTCTTAAAAGCTAGCAAGCAGCCATCTAAGATGTATCAATTGGCCCCAACCCACCTGGAGCAAAGGTGAATGAATAATATCAAAGACACAAGGAAAGTATTAGCCCAGGAGACAGAAAGGGCCACATAAACCAGAGACTCCATCAGCCTGAGACCAGAAGAACTAGACGGTAACCAGCTACCACCAACGACGACCCTGACACGGAACAAAGCACAGAGTTCCTGATGGAGCAGAAGAAAAGTGGGGTGCAGAACTCAAATTTTAGTAAAATGACCAGACTTAATGGTTTGATTGAGACTGGAGGAACCCAGGAAGACATGGCCCCCGGACTCTTTGTTAGCCCAAAACTAAAACCATTCCTGAGGCCAACTCTTCACACAAAGATTAGATTGGACTATGGGACATAAAATGATACCCATGAAGAGTGTGCTTCTTAGCTCAAGTAGATACATGAGACTAAAAGGGCAGCTCCCGTCCAGAGTTGAGATGAGACGGCAGAGAGGGTCAGGAGCTGGTTGAATGAACACGGGAAATCAGGGGTGGAAAGGAGGAGTGTGCTGTCACAGTACAAAGAGAGCAGCTAGGGTCACATAACGATGTATGTATAAATTTTTGTATGAGAACTAACTTGAATTATAAACTTTCACTTAAAGCGCAACAATTAAAAAAAAGAAAAAGTGTTACTATTTATGTTAACACAATACATAATACTGAACACTGCACATTGGGAGTTATCGACAAATAAATATGAATATTCTAGGAGAAAATATTAGTTCTGCAGGTACAGGATATACTTCCTAAATACATATACTTAAACAATTATATTATCTTACCTGCTGCAATTGCTTGGTCTGCAATGATTTTTTCAAAGTCTTCTCTTTCCAAAGATTTCCTGGAAATATTTCAGTATCTTAAATTAGAAACTGACAAGTGAATGCTCAAACTTCACATTAAAACATACTGAACCATACTTCACATTAAGAAAGACTGAAGGAAAATTATTTAAGTTACCTTTTTTTTTAGAGTCAAATATTGACTACCAAGTTTATAGGAAAGGAGCAGTGACATGTACAATCCAGAACAATGTTGAAAACCCCCAAATGTTCAAGATGTAGCGGGTTCCATCATTTTTTATGAAGCACGTTGATCCTTCAAGTTAGCTTTACATAGGCTAATACTAAAGAGTTTGCTCTGGCAGGACACCAGGAGTGCGAGATGGCCCCGAAGGGATGGTAATTAACCATCCCAATTCTTCTGGTGACCCAACTAAGAAGAAAAATCGGCATACAAATAGATTTCACTATTAAGTATCGCCTTTTTTTTGCTGAAGAAAATACATAGCATTTCTTGCTTTGGAGACTCAACCATCATTACATTAAACGTTCATCCTTGATAATGTATAAAAATTTAATAACTAAAAAAAATTATTCTTTTTCAATTACTGTACTGGTTTCTATAGCATTAAACCAGCTGCATTCAAACTGATTCCTAGTCCTGGTGACCCCACGTGTGTCAGAGTAGAACTGTGCTCCAGACGGTTTTCAGTGACTGAATTTTCAGAAGTAGTTCATCAGACTTTTCTTCAGAGACACCTGTAAATGAACTCTAAGCCCTAACCTCCCGGTTAGCAGCCAAGCACGTTAACTGCACGGCCCAAGGACTCCTGCTATAGCAAGTTGTTGTTAGGTCATTGAGTCGATTTTGACTCATGGCAACCCCAGGTGACAGAGGAGAACTACTCCATAGGGTTTTCTTAGCTGTAATCTTTACAGAAGCGGATTGCTAGGTCTTTCTCTCACAGAGCCGCTGGACTCCACCAACCTTTTCGTTAGCAGCTGAGCGCTTAACTGTTGAGCCAACAGGTTGAATGTAACAGCATACATTTTGACAGATAGAGAGTTTAGGTAATCTCAACTTGACAATGTGTTAATTCATGTCTGCCTAATTGTTTTTTATAATGTCTGACAGTGATAACTGATTATAACCAAATTTGGCAAGCCACTAAAGCATATTAAAAGATACATAAGGTTCTATTTGCCATTTGCCATCAACCCACTGCTGTTGAGTCAATTCTAACTCACAGCAACCCTATAGGACAGAGTAGAACTGCCTCATAGGGTTTCCAAGGAGCTGTTGGTGGATTCGAACTGCCAACCTTTTGGTTAGTACTCATAGCTCTTAACTATTAGATAAGCTCAATTTAAAAAGAGGTATACATCTGAAATTTTAAACAGATTTCAGTAAACATAATAGATGTAGGGAAGTTTCAGAAGAAAATATTTTTGAGAAGGAAACTGGATCACTCTACCATTTTATCACACAAGGGTATATTATAATTAATTAAAGTACTAAGTAGAAATATTTTTTAATCTAAGTTGGTCAAGGATCACTTATGATATTATAGCCCACTTTGAGCTAGACACTATCGACTATTTTTCTATACTGATCTATTTTTAAATTTGCTTCTTTTTCTCATTTAAGTAACTTTTTTTATTTCCCTAAAAAATAAGAGTAAATATGCTCAGAGAACTCTAATAACGCCAATTCTCAGTACCCATGACAGGAGATGTAAGCAAAGCCTTGCTAGTTCAAACAGCACACAGTGCATTTTACAGCACGTTCCTTGTGTTTACATTCAAAAAGGAAAAGCAGGCATAAGTACTGCATGTATGGCATGATCGCACAAAAAGAGACCAAGCAAAAGTTAGTTCTCTGAGCAACTAACCTAGAGGAAAACCATAAAGACTATTAAATTCATTACACTTAAAAGAAAAAGGGAGGGGCGGCCTCTGGTCCTTCACTCAGGGGCAGTTGTTTACCACGTTAGTTTTCTGGTTTTCAAGTCACAGAAGACAATAAGCAGTCCACAAGATCGTTTAGGGTATGTTCAGCAGTTGGCAAACCTAAAGCAGTAGAAATGGCAGCTGACTTGATAAGAAGGTGGGGGAGAAAAACCTAACAAAACCCCAGAAACAAAGCGCGTACTCAAGAGCTAAAGAGCGAAGCAGAGAGGAACCCTCTGCACATCAGCAGGCAGACTCAGGAGCAAAATGGTGTGTCATCTTATCTCAACAACTGAATAACCATCATCAGGACAATTAAAATATGACCAGCCTTTTCTCTTTAAGAAGTAAGAAAAGCAGTAAAAGATTTGTTCGAGATCTCCAAATAATAGGATTGCTGTTTTTGTAAGTTCTGAAATTTCTTAAAGAATACACCGTGAGGAAAACGTGCTAACGAACGTCTGCATCTAGTGGAAGGAACATTTCAGAACACCAAGCCCTGAGAATAAATTGAGTAAACTGACTGCCAAGGACTTCAGCAGACAGGCACAGTAGCAGGGCTGCAATGACTTCTGGGTATCTTATCAGCTTCACTGAGAATAAAGGTCAGAGGCTTTCTGGAATGCTTTTCCTATCGCTCATGTAAACATAGCTTCTGTCAGACACATAAATTCACACTCTCTCCTTCTGGACCCATCCCTGACCCCTTCTTGGCTTGGTGCTGATGCCTGCGGTCTGGGACAGTTAGTCAGCAAGGAAAATTAAGCCTAGATAATCCACAAAACTAATTATCCATTCACTCGTGAGTGGATAGACTAATGAATTCATAAAATATTCCCAAGAATGGGACTGGCTTGCAAAATTTCAATGTTCAATTCTGCAAATGTGAAATCAAGTATTCATTCTATTATTTATACATGAAATAATTCTGGCAATTTGGGGGAATCCAAAACAGGGCCAATCAAATTATTTATCAGCAGTAAAGATATATTTGGAAAATTAACTATATAAATAAATTTTTTTAAAAAGAAAAACCTATATTAAGGCTCTATGGAAAGCTTTCTTAAAGAAAATTTCAAAGATAGACACAAGAAAAAAGTATAAACAGAACTACAGAACTGATACTCAGCCAGTGCACACCAGGACAACCAAACTGGTTGTTGAAAATACTGAAACAGTTCCACTGCTGCCCCACACTTCCTGAGTCCCCCTCTTCATACCCCCTGGATCGTCACCTGGTCCTGATGCAGCTCCTAAAGGTGTAACCTGTGGTTGAGGTGGGTGGGGCAGGAGCAGGAGGCTGCTGGGCTGGAATTCCAACCTTCTGGGAGCATCCTTCAGGCAAGGAATCAGTTCTGATTGTTTGGGATCCACGCCTTACTTGTTGTGACTTTAAAAATCACCCCTTAGGCTGCGGGGAGATGGGAACTCTTATGCACTGCTGGTGGGAATGCAAAATGATACAACCATTTTGGAAAATGATATGGCACTTCCTCAGAAAGCTAGCAACAGACATACCATTCGATCCAGCAATCCCACTCCTAGGAATATATCCTAGAGAAATTAGAGTCATCACTCGAATAGACATATGCACACCTATGTTCATGGCA